GACCCAAGTGTACATGAAAACTGAATTTAGTTCTGCAAGGATCGCACTCCTCCCAAAACTTCAGCTCTCGCCGAAACTTTCACGGGGGCGTAACTGAGACCCAGGCTTGACTGGAAACTGATTTTGAATTTACGGCGTTCATAGGCGAGTCCAGGAGAGAGGGAGGGGGGCGAAGGATCTTTCTCCCTCCCAGCAGCACATGCACTACTGCTGCAAAAGCCTGAGTCTATTCACAAATAAAACTAAAGTAACTCCAAATAACAATGTTACAACTCTATTCCTAGTTTTTGCATAGTTCTGGGGTGAGATGAAGCTCCGTTTCTTCCACCTCCCTTCGTCTCCGCCAGGGGTTCACTCTCCCCATCTCTTGCCCATTCCAGAAGCCCCACTCTTCCCACACCTTCCCTAGGAGTCCGCTCTCGATTTGTTTATGGCGGGGTTGCATGTGGAAAGGAAACATCCCTGTTAAACTTCAGCTTCCTAGCCTTCATGGTTACCGAGATAATCCTCCCGTCAAAACCTTCATGGGGCCGTACGCGATCCAAACGCATAGAAAAACTGAATTCAAATTTCCCGGGCCACATGTGGTCAGGAGACATACCCATAAAATTCCAGCCCCCTAGCTTCCGTGGTTTCCGAGATAATGGTTTTACTCGCTAAAATTTTTATGGAGCCGTACATGTCACGTGCGGTCACGGGAAAGTCGAATTTAAATTTGCGGGGTCATGCGTTGGTGGGGAACAGTCTACTAAAACTTCAGCCGCCTAAGTTTTGTGGTTCTCGAGTTGAAAGTGCGGGACAAAATCTCGAACACAAACACACAGACAACCCCGTAATAATATGAGTTTTGTGCTGCTGTTACACGGTGCAAAACGCACAAAAAAACTGAACCAAGGACTGCTGTTTTTAGACAAATAACCAAAGAAACACTGAGAAAAACGAAACTTTGTGTGCTGCTTCGTACACTCAATAAATTAGCAAAGCACAGCCGGGCGTCAAATGAACATCGGTTACCTGTAACAGTGCCCATCGTCCAGATCTGGTCTCGACGAAAGCTGTTTTTGCTGGCAGTCTTCATGCCCTGATGCATACTGCTCACTTCCTTTCCCAGTCTCATCGTCAGCGACCGCTTCTTCCCGTTGGGACTGACCACCACAGTCAACAGCACCACAGCTTCTTTCATTATCCTTCGCTTCTATCTGCTGTTCAATGTCAGCTTGACTGCCACTGAATGTTTTACCGAATCCACCAACTTCTCGATCATCACTGGATTCTTTCTCATCCTAAAAATTTGTCACAAATGACAGCAAAAAGTGATTGTACCTGCGTCATATATTTGTGAAACTAAGACTACCAGTATCACCAACCCTGTCAGCATGCTGTTCTGCTGGGATCCATATACATGCAAACTCAGGTACGATAATCTCTTCTATCCTAAGCACCCAGAGCACTTCGATGTGTGCGGCACGTCTTCGGCAGTCGATCAAGACTACTTATTACGGGTAATATCACTAAAACGTGACTATCCATGCTGTCTGGCTGGACTAATTTTCGTCTACACTTATAATCGCGACGATAATTTGCATTACTTTATCTGTCGTAACGTTTGAACGTCTGTCGCTTCACCGCTCTTTTAATCACAGCTACAATTTGCTCTTCTGCTTTCGTCAGCAACAACGTTTCCTATCTTTACATAACTGACTTCTTCACAGCGGTACTGCCTCATACCAATTTGGCACTTTAAAAACGTCGGCAGTCCTGCGAAATTTGCTTTAAGCAGCAATAACTCAACGCACAATCTTAGAAAAGAGGATACGATGCAAAATCCATTATGTAACATCAATGACTGGTACATGTACTTGTAAAGTCAGCAGCTCATACTCGTACGAGCGACTTAAACATGTGCCTAATTCAATTCTTTTGATCCTCGTAAATGAACATATTCCTTCTGCAAAATTTCTTCAAATTTCGACTGCTCTGTCCTGTTTACACTAGACGTCTGCTGGAAAATTTCCTGTGACTCGGTCGAAGTGTCTCTTACACGGCTATCATGATGCTGCTACTCTTATACAGTTAAATTTTACTGTAAAGACATTGATAGCACAGTCATATCTGCTAAAATGTCGTTCGATCGATTAGGTTCCGTTTTTTATTACAAACTCTATCCCTTTCTTGTTGTGCTCCGATGGCACTACTATGTCTGCTGGTAATGATTTTGCTAAAGCTGAGTGTTTCGCTACCATTCTTCTTTTCCAAATATTTTTACAATTCTAAGTACAACTTTAGTCATAGGGCAAAAATAAACATTAGACGATACTGAGCTGAAGCAGCAGCAAAAAGAACTGACCTCATAGGAGTTCAAGGCTTCAAACACATCAAACTGTGTCCCTTACATTAACTCTTCACTTAACAATTTTGCTCTTTTCGTAACCATTCTATTTCATCAGTCTCTAGGCAGTAACGAAACACCTAAGATTTGGGAAAACTAACTGGTTACTGCAGTGTTTAGAAAAGATAATTCAGTAGTCTGGAAAGTTATAGACCAATTTTTCTGGAAGTTCTCTAGGCAGAATAATGAAGCGTTTCACTGCTAAGGCTGTTTTAACACATGTTTTAAACCTCAATATTCCTGAGTACTGGTACAGTCTTTTCCTGCGGAAGCAGTAAATTTTCTGGATGCATCCACAGTTGGCAGGCAAGTCTTCAAGTCAAAAAAGCACTGAATGTATATATGTCGATTTTGAGGAAGCTTTCGACTACAGAAAACTGGGCGACAATTTTTTAAACCTTATCGCTCTCAACACAACAGTTGTTAACTTCTCCCCGCTACTGGATTTTGTTTCCTCAGTTAAGTACCAACCAAATTGGACAACATGAATTTTGGAGAGTACTAAGTTCGTGAACCCTTGGTCTTGAAAAACTCACTGTCAATGCCTACAACCCCCGCCTCCCTCTCCGCCGAGAGCTTTTCTTGATCTCTCTGGAAAGCTGCTACTGTAAAGGACGTGGAGGGTAAAACACAAAATCGGAAATACTTGGAGGTTAATTACAAAGTAAAAGGTATATATATATATACATATATAAATAAAAGAATGAATGTTATAAAAAATTATTTAAAAAATCCTATCAGGACC